ATATTAATATCAATAAGAAATGGTTGCACTGTTTAAAATTCAAAAATATGAATATTTCTTTTGCTTTTAATTTTTAAGGTAATAGATTTTAAATATAATACAATCTCATGCCTCTTGATGTCTTCCTGCAAACTCCATGGAAAGGTAATTATTCATTATATATTTACCATATATACAAAGGAAAAATATAGAATGAAAATTAAATGACTATTAGAAATAAAAAAGCTACATCCTTTGAAAAAGTAAATCTACAAAAACAGGCATTGATTAATCCATAATAGTCTGTGAATCATGAAAAATTTGATTTTGCAATGTAATTTTCACTGATGTAATAGAGAAATGTTATTGCATTGCTGATTCTTTTTTATCCCTATAATAAAACTCTAGGTATTTGAGAATCCAGTCCCATGGGATGGTTTCAAGAATCTCAATCAGAGCAAGCCACGAGAATTCAGAAAGAGATACTGCCCCTCTCTTGTACATCAGTCTTTTTCCACATATTAACAACCTCCCCCACCCCCACCAAAAAATCTGGAAATGAATTACATTCTCTGTGCATTCAGCACCAAAGCAGAAAAAATGACCTATCAGAGGTGGAGGACCTGGTCCTGTTCAGAAGACAAGAGATACAGGCACTAGAGTAGAGAATGTGGTTGGAAGGAAGCAATGGGCTCAAAGCAGGAACTATTTCTTGAGCCTCCTTTAGCTAAAGACAATAAGTAACTGAAAAATAAATAAGAAGTCTGACAAAAGAAAAATTATATAATGTTGGAAAAGGTTCAGGAAAAGAACAATGGTTCTTTAGTTTAAATGATCCTTAGTATGTTCGATTTAATAAGTATCTGGGGCAGTTTTTGATAGTTGCCTCTAAAAAGGCATGTCAAAAAATATGTGCTATAAAAATATAATTTTCATATACTTAGAAACCAACTTATTAAAATGTATCATTCCATGATGCCCTGGACATTTATATCTTATTATCCATAAGAAGCAATATACTTTCTTCCTCACACCTTTCTCTTTTCAGTTACTACTCTTATTCTTACTACTTCTATTACTACTATTCTTGTGAGATTAGACTTTCTGACAATTCCTTCACATTTCACTCCTTTATATAAAATAAGCCACTGCCTTCTGTGGCAATAAGTCTAAAGTTTTTTGGCTTGCAGGTTCTCTACCTCATAGTTTCACCCTACATGTCCTTACTTTTCACTACTTTCTAACACAAGCCAAAGCAATCTTAAGAAAGAAAAACTGAACTGGAGGAATCAGGCTCCCTGACTTCAGACTATACTACAAAGATACAGTAATCAAAACAGTATGGTACCAGCACAAAAACAGAAATAGAGATCAATGGAACAAGATAGGAAGCCCAGAAATAAACCCACACACAAATGGTCAATTAATCTATGACAAAGGAAGCAAGAATATACAATGGAGAAAAGATAGTCCCTTCAATAAGTGGTGCTGGGAAAACTGGACAGCTACATGTAAAAGAATTAAATTAGAACACTCCCTAACACCATACACAAAAATAAACTCACAATGGATTAAAGACTTAAATGTAAGACCAGACACTCTAAAACTCTTAGAGGAAAACATAGGCAGAACACCCTATGACATAAATCACAACAAGTTCCTTTTTGACCCATCTCCTAGAGAAATGGAAATAAAAATAAAAATAAACAAATGGGACATAATGAAACTTAAAAGTTTTTGTACAGCAAAGGAGACCATAAACAAGATGAAAAGACAACCCTCAGAATGGGAGAAAATATTTGCTAATGAAGCAACTGACAAAGGATTAATCTGCAAAATTTACAAGCAGTTCATGCAGCTCAATATCAAAAAAACAAACAACCCAATACAAAAATGGGCAGAAGACCTAAATAGACATTTCTCCAAAGAAGATATACAGATAGCCAACAAACACATGGAAGAATGCTCAACATCACTAATCATTAGAGAAATGCAAATCAAAACTACCTCACACTGGTCAGAATGGCCATCATCAAAAAGTCTACAAATAATAAATGATGGAAAGGGTGTAGAGAAAAGGGAACCCTCCTACACTGTTGGTGGGAATGTAAATTGATACAGCCACTATGGAGAACAGTATGGAGGTTCCTTAAAAAACTAAAAATAGAGCTACCATATGACCCAGCAATCCTACTCCTTGTCATATATCTGGAGAAAAACATAATTCAAAAAGACACATGCACTCCAATGTTTATAGCAGCACTATTTACAATAGCCAAGACACTGAAAAAACCTAAGGGTCCATCGACAGAAAAATGGATAAAGAAGATGTGGTATATATATACAATGGAATATTACTCAGCCATAAAAAAGAATGAAATAATGCCATCTGCAGCAACATGGATGAACCCAGAGATTATCATACTAAGTGAAGTAAGCCAGACAGAGAAAGACAAATATCATACGATATTGCTTATATGTGGAATCTAAAAAAAGATACAAATTAACTTATTTACAAAACAGAAACAGACTCACAGACATAGAAAACAAACTTATGGTTACCAAAGGAGAAAGAGGGAGGAGGAATAAATTAGGAGTTTGGTATTAAAATATACACACTACTATATATAAAATAGATAACCAACAAGGACCTACTGTATAGCACAGGGAACTCTACTCAATATTTTGTAATAACATATAATGGAAGAGAATGTAAAAAAAAGTATATATATATATATATGTGTTGAAGTGAATCACATTACTGTACACCTGAAACTAACACAGCATTGTTAATCAACTATATTTCAAGAAAAAATTTTAAAAAACACAAGCCCCCAACTCCAGCCAACTCTTCCTTTGATTGCCTCTATATACTATGCTTGTTTGCCCACTGTGAAATAATAGAAAAATATATATATTAGTCTTTGCTCCTAGTTTCTGGTATAAAGCTCGTAAATCCCTTGGAATTTCCTGGGTGACAGGAGAGTCTTTTGTTCTAATTTGGCAATGCTTGGTGGGCCTCTAGATAGGGGTTTGTCATTAGAAAGACCAAGCCAGATTAGAAATGTGGCACTTTCAGCCTCACACCCCACCCTCCAGGAAGGGGACAGTGCTGGAGATTGAGTTAAGGATCCATCATGCCTATGTGATGAAGCCTCCATAAAAGTCCCAGAAGTACGAGGTTCAAGAATCTTCTGAGTTGCTGAAGACATCTACATGCCAGAGGATGGTGCACCCCAACTCCATAGGGACATAAGCTCCTGTGCTCGGACCCTTCCAGGTGTCGTCCTGCGTATCTCTTCATCAGGCTGTTCATTTGTGTCCTTTATCACATCTTTTATTATATAATAAACTGGTAAACCTAAGTAAGCTTTCCCCTGAGTTCTGTGATCTGTTCTACCAAATAATTTAATACAAGGGAGGGATGTCATGGGAGAGTCTAATTTGTAGCCAAGTAGGACAGAAGTTGTGGATAACCAGGGGACCTACTATTTTTGACTGGCATCTGAATTTGAGGAGTAATCTCATGGGACTGAGTCCTTAACCTATGATATGCTAACTCCAGTTAATATCAGAAATGAATTGAATTGTAGGACATCTAGCTGGTGTCACAGAGAATTACTTGGTGTGAAAACAATCCTACTTGCATGGTGTCAGAAATGTTAGGAGTGTGGTAGTAGCGTGAGAGTAATGGAGAAACACACAGGAGTAGTGAGTTTCTTTATACCCTCTTTTTCCAATTATCCAATCCTAACCATTTTTAAATACAAATCCTGGAGTTACCTCCTATATGAAGTCTGTCCTGACTACCTTTGGCTGTAGGGGAAGAGTACGGAGTGGGATAGTTTCAGAGGGCTTTCCTGAGCATGAAATATAAGCTTTGCTCTTGAATCAGTGAGACAATTCTGTACCCTTGTAATTATTTTCCTTTTTTTAAACGCCTGAAGCAAGTCCATGTGGGGCTCTATTACTTGCAGTCAAAAAAATTTGAATGAGATATATGGCAAGTACCACCTTTACCAATTGTCTTGTATTGTCCTCAGTACTCACTAAATGTTGAACACAGCAGAAGCACTTAAGAAACACTGAGATCTGCTCTGCCCAATGCAGTAGCCACTGACCACCTGGGCTATAGGGAATTGAAATGTGACTAGTACAAACTGAAATGTGACTTAAGTGCAAAATACACACACAATTTCAAAGGCTCAATTAAAATTATGTAAATTATCAATATACTTCTATATTGATTACATATTGAAATATTTGTATATAGACAAATACAATTATTAAAATTGTTTTCGCCTGTTTCTTTTTACTCTTTAAATGTGTCTACTTGAAAATTTAAAACTATGCATGTGGCTCACATGACATTACATTATATAGCACTGATTTAAAATGATTTGTCTTCTTAAATCCAGAAACATGGGAAGGAAATTTGCTATTTCCCAGAATTTTAGAATTTATAGGGAAATTTATAGTTGTATCCTGTATAATTTGAGCTATCTATACCCAGATTGTGGCATTTCAGAGAGTATTTTCTGAGAGTTTGGTCTCTTTATGTTATATACAAGATTAGATCCATTCCTTACTATGTATTCTTCTCAGATATATAATTATAATTAAGCTAATGAGCATTAGAAAACAACAGCAAAGGAAACATTATTGCTCAACTATATGTGCTCTGTAGCAAATTTTTAGTGACTGAGGGTTTAAGGCAGAAGCAGGATTATTTATTCCATTCTACCTCAATCACTGAAAAGACATGTATTGAATGCAAGTCACTTTAATCTTCAGGTTCAAGAACATGTATTTCTGCTACAAGTTATCATTTCAAATAACGTAGTTTAGTTTTTTGAGTTTCAACATAAATAAGATGAAAAGTTATCAAATTCCTGTCAGAGGGTTTAGTATGAAATGACTCAATTTCTGAACACGTTAAAAAATAAATATTTCATGAATTTCAGCTTGAAATTCATACTGTGTGCCAAAGAGAATTTATCATCAATACAAGCAGTACTTACTTGATACTCTTGCAGGTTTTTCTGCTAAAAATAAAGAAAAAAAGTCTTGCTTAACTCAGGTAAAATGCAAAGAAATTATACATCAATAGGCTATATAAATGTATCTAATATCTTTAGACTTTCTTCCTTATTGTTCAGGAGTTGGTGAAGAAATGTAACTCTATTGCCTAATAACATGGATCTTTGTAAGCTGTGACAAAGTGAGAGAGTGGCATGGACATATATACACTACCAAACGTAAAACAGATAGCTAGTGGGAAGCAGCCGCATAGCACAGAGAGATCAGCTCGGTGCTTTGTGACCACCTAGAGGGGTAGGATAGGGAGGGTGGGAGGGAGGGAGACGCAAGAGGGAGGAGATATGGGGACATATGTGTATGTATAACTGATTCACTTTGTTATAAAGCAGAAACTAACACACCATTGTAAAGCAATTATACTCCAATAAAGATGTTAAAAAAAATGGATCTTTGAATAACTTAATTGCTTTTATGTGTTTCACAGCATATTTATGCTTTTTAAACACTCATTAAAATCAGCAGGATCTGTTTTAAATTGCTTTGGTTTAACTATAATTATACCTAACTCCAGTGAAATTGCTTTGTATGATGTAATTAATCTAAATATTTGCTTTACAGTTTCCAAATTCCATAAAATATATTATTGAGAATTATTTTCCTTTCACAGAAGAATAAAGACAAATAACTACCCATTAGACTATAAAATATAAATCTTAAAAAGCGACATGCAAAATCAGCTTAATTTTTCATAATCATTTATTTATTAGTTTCAATGAGGGATTATAATTCTTCAAATATGTTTTTCCATTAAACTGTATGAATGTAGGACAAAGATATAAAGTGGAATGATTGTCCCAAATACTATAGCAGACATTCTAACTTTCTGAAACAAAGAGGATTGGTAACATCTATATTCCATTAACATTAGTCTCATTTAAAGGGCTAGGTTTGAAAATATAATTTTTAAGGAATCTGCATAACATGTTTTACTTTGAGACTTGTAGAGTTTCTGACATAAACCTAAGAATTACAAATTTAGAAAAGTTAGGTTAATGCCAACAGAAAGGTTTATTTTTGTGGGGGGGATACTTATGTTTTCGGTGATATTACAGCAGCACATGTATAAAATTGCAAAACAAACAAAATAATTCAGAAAAATGCTTTAGTAAAGCTAATGTTATAATTTTTCCTTTAAAAATACTAGCGTTGGCTAAAGAGACAGGAACTTAGAAAGGAATAAAATAAACATTTATGGAGATGCAATGAACCATTCGTTGAGTGAAGGAATGAATAAGAATGTGCCTGTATTCTCAACCAGCTCTAGGTTGGACTTGTGCTTTCACATGTAACAATTTTTCCCTTCAGTGTATTCATAATATGAAGATCTTAGAAATAATGGACTCACAGAATAGAGTAAGAAAGGAGTATCCATCCAACGTCCAAATCCTTAGAATCCCTTGTGCAGCCCTCTAGTCTTAGCACTAATAGACCACTTCCTTGGGGACAAAGTGGGGTACATTTTATCTTTGGGCTGCTCTGATTGGTAGAAAGCTTTCCCTTATATTTGCCACAGTGTGGTAGGATAGTGAAATGTAATTGAATGGGCTTAAGTCTTTGATGTCACATCCACTTGGAGGCAATTCCTGTCTCTATTACGTAAACACTGAGATGTTAGACTTCCCTTCATCTAGCATTAACTCGGCTTTAAACTGGGAATGATAATTGGTCCTGTACTAAGGAGGAAACTGAGCTAATAATAGGAAAGGATATAGCTACAGGTATTCAAAATAATCCATTTCTTTTCATTCTTCTGGCTAAATATCTTAAAAGGTATCAAGTTTTGCAGAAAGTTCCAATATAAAAATTGTGTTCCTGTATCTTTGTACAAATTTGATATTTCTCTTATTCTAAATGTTACCCCTTAATATTACTGATAATTGTGCCCTGCCTAGATATGCCCTGCCATTGCAAGTATACATACTACAGTAAGAAACAACAGGGAACCAGTGAAAAACAAGATTCCTCCCCAACACCTGCCCCCCACCCCCGGTACACACACACACTAGAGATCTATGTATTTACTATGAATGAAAATTCTTGCTCAATTATGGTATGTTTATTTAGCACTTTAAAATTTAAGGCATTTACGTTTTGTTACATTTTGGATTAATTAGATTCGCCTAAAATTTTATGACCCAGACTACATAATTCAGCTGTACTCTTATAGTTTTATGATAATATCACCAAAATAGGTCATTTTCATTTTAGGTAAAGAACATCTACCTGACATGTGCATGCTGGCATCTACCTTCCACTACCCACTTTGCATCTACATTGAATTAATTTCAAAGACCAGTATATAAATAATAAAAATATATACATGATATTAGCTACATCTTATGTAGTCATAGATAAAATGAATCTCGGCATCTCGGCTTCCTCTTTTTACTACTCTCTCATTCTTGACTGTAGTCATGCTGTGACTTTTGCAATAAAAGAAATTTTTCTTCTGGTATGTACTCAAATATCTTATGAAGGTTTAGGTTGTTAATAGTTTCTACTTCTCCACATTTCCTAGTTTTCCACTGAAATGTAAGCTTTCTGCTAGATTTCCTACCTGTCCACTTCCTCTGTTGTTAGCAGTAGTGTATACCTGCTAGACTTCCTTGCTTTAAAAAAATTTAGTGTTAATATTAAACACCAACATAATTCAGGCACCTCCACATCAACATAGCATTTGAATCTTTACAAAGTTCAAGATTACCTTTTGTCACATTGTGTAATTGAGGACTTTCTTTCCTAGTTGGCACTGTATATAAAGAAAATGTAAATTAAAATAAGAATTTTTAAAGAAAATGTTCATAAAATTTTGGTTCACTTCATCTCTAAGCGTTAGCAATGTGGGAATAATTTAAATGTTGTAAATATTTTCTTGAGGCTTTAAAAAAAATTTCCTTTCTACTAACACCTAACAAAAATAAATGTTTTGTTTGCATAAACAAAGATATAACATAATCAGTGATTTCAGAGTACTAAAATGAATTAGAGCCCATGGACAATGGGTCATTATGATTAATTGAATTTAGGTGTAAACCAGAAAAAAAGTGTCATCTTTTGTTGTTAACAATCTTTTTGGTATGGCTAAAAATGCCTTCCTCATGACTCGATAGAGTATTTCTCTGATGATTAAGGCCTTTGTAAGTTTTTTAGATAACTACATGGAAATCAGTGATTATCATATTATGTAGTTTACTAAATAAATAAACCTAATGTTAAGAAAAAAAGCAACTTACAATGCAGCCTCTAACTAGCTGCTCACCAATGACCCAACACATGACTGCATACTGAAGGAGTGGCCTGCCATCCACTGCTCCTTTGACACTGCCATTACCACATAGCCAGGATTATTGACCACATTTCTTTTTTTAATCAGACCAGCAATCATCACATACATAAACAAAAGTTTTATTTAAAATTGAAATAAATTTTGACTCAAAATATTTTGACTTCAGGGCCTTTCAATCTTTTAAAAATTACCTTTTTCTTCCTTAAGATGTTTCATTTCTGCTTTTTCTATAGAGATAAAATGGTAATTAGAATCATACACATATTTATTCATAGGTCTTCCTAAGGTTTGGAATTACATATTTTGTAGTCAATATTTACAATTCAGGAGTTATATGAAAAGAACTTTATGGTGCTAATTTAGCAATAATAGGTGGAGTTTGCTTTGAGATCTAAATTCCTGTTCCCTTTAGATATCTAATAATAATGCAATTCATACACCCGTTGCATGGGTAACACCAAAATGAGCTGCGGTTCTGACACATGCTTTAAAATTAGCGTCCGTATTTTCATGAATTGCTTTTAAGTAGTGTAATTTGTGTAATTACATATTTTTGAATTCCTGTGTTTTGTTTCTGTTGTGTTTTTTTTTTGGTACGCGGGCCTCTCACTGTTGTGGCCTCTCCCGTTGCGGAGCACAGGCTCCAGACGCGCAGGCTCAGCGGCCATGGCTCACGGGCCCAGCCGCTCCGCGGCGTGTGGGATCTTCCTGGACCGGGGCACGAACCCGCGTCCCCTGCATCGGCAGGCGGACTCTCAACCACTGTGCCACCAGGGAAGTCCAATTCCTGTGTTTTTGTCACTAATTTGATATACATGTCTTAAGACGTCTTTACCTTTACTTTCCTTTTCAGATTTTTCAATTTTCTTCTTCACTAGAGGGTAAAATAACAAGAAACCATTGGTTTATAAAACATAATTTTCTTACTCAATCTTGGAGTAAATATTTGGAGTTGAAATTTAATCCCATAAGTGAAAGGGGGTCAAGGCTCTACTTTTTCAAGATGTGAAGAGAAAGTCTCCCTCCCATGTGTGAGAACATACGTATTTTTGTTACCCTTGGTTACTTGGCTTTGTAAGGCAGAGCCCCCTCCTTTTGTTTTTGTTTTTTACATGCTTTGAAGTAAAGCTAGAGGAAGCCATGCATTTATTAATAAGTTTAAATGAGTAACAGAAAAAACTCTAAATTTTTTATTGTTATCTGTAGGAAATGGGAATTTGATCGGTGCTATGGATGCTCGGTAAATAAACTGTTGAGTAAAAAAAATGTAAGAATCGCAATATATCTCTGGGCAAAATGTGGACACATACTTTTTAAAACAGAGTTTTGGTTGATTGATGCTTTTCTTCAACTATATTTATCAGACAAAAGTAAGAAGGAAACCAATATTTAATGATGACAACAACGTATGTAGTGGGAATGTTATATATGTTATTTCATTTAATACTTATAACAAGTCTTTGGGGAAGTCATTATGCCTGGTCTAATAGATGAGGAAACTGGGAATCTGAGCTGTTAAGGTATTTTCCCAAATGTTACACAGCCAGACAGAGACTCAAATTTAAATACTGTTCCCACAAATCTATGTTACCTCCTCTTGGAAAGCAAATATTTACCTGATGCTGTTACTTCTGATGTTTCCTCTTTAGAAAAAAAAAAAAATAGAAAAAAGGAAGAAAAATAAAAGGAAAGAATAGTTTTGTTTTTCAGTAGCAGACAACTGAACTTCATCTGCATGTATTTCCTATTAAATTCCAATAATAATGACAACAGACACATACACAAAATGGCAAATAGCCATACTGGTAACTAATATTTCTGAAAACTAACTGGAATCTATTCTGGAAATAGAACCACTCTACAAATTAATCTTAAACAGTCGATTCATATATGGTAGAAAGAATCAATTTGAAGATCTTTGGGTGGTTTTCTCAATTACAATTATAAATCTCCATTACATAATTTTTTTTTTTTTTTTTTGCAGTATGCGGGCCTCTCACTGTTGTGGCCTCTCCCGTTGCGAAGCACAGGCTCCAGACGCGCAGGCTCAGTGGCTGTGGCTCACGGGCCCAGCCGCTTCGCGGCATGTGGGATCTTCCCGGACCGGGGCATGAACCTGTGTCCCCTGCATCGGCAGGCGGACTCTCAACCACTGCGCCACCAGGGAAGCCCCTCCATTACATAAATTTTTAACACGATCTGCACGTGTGCATGCATGCATTCATTTATTAAATATTTATAAAGCAACTTCATGTATAAGATGTATTGAGTGCAATAAGTGGTGTTGAGAGATGAGATTTTAAAATATCACAAAAGTAAACTCAACTCATGATGACTACAGTCAGAGTAGTGAGACAAAACATAAAAATGTTATTTGTCTTAGCCTATGATAATGTAGAACCAACCCTTCATTTTGCTCTTTTAGTAAATTCATAGAACAATTATTTTTAAAAATATAACATGGCAGGCTTTAAAAAATATAGCTTTCCTCACAAATCAGTTCAAATGATAATATTTTCTATAAAACCAATACATTTAATTATCAGTCTAATATAACTTTTTTGGAAGCTATTTTCAAAGTTCAAGGAAAACTAGTTAAAACATTTTATAAGAATGAAGATGTAAAATAATGTTTCATAAACTAAACAGTATTTGCCAATAATTATGCTGATATTTCATATTAGTATTCTAGTTTTGGCTTTCAGCCCTTAATTTTTGTAATACCCTTCATATTAGTAGCAATTACACAAATTAAATATACTAGAGATTTTTGCCAACCCAAAGAAAAACTTTAGGCATAACTTCTAGATACACTCTCGATTGATATGCAAATATTTCCCCCCAGGATAATGTCTGGGTCTTAATTTAATAGTACTAAATAAACAGTTTCATTTTTATGAAATTGCATAAAATTTCATAAATTTTCAAAAATTTCATAAATTGCTGCATTCTTACTACCATTTGAAGTGCCAAAATAAAACAGTGATTCTGAAATACTAAAACAACTCACCTTCAGCTTTTGAAAAAATATGAAAGTAAAAAGCTAATGTGTTAAGATTAAATAATTGAAGACAAGTATTCTGTGTTCTGAACTTTTTTTTTTTTTTTTTTTTTTGGCAGTACGCGGGCCTCTCACTGTTGTGGCCTCTCCTGTTGCGGAGCGCAGGCTCAGCGGCCATGGCTCACGGGCCCAGCCGCTACGCGGCATATGGGATCTTCCCGGACCGGGGCACGAACCCATGTCCCCCGCATCAGCAGGCGGACTCTCAACCACTGCGCCACCAGGGAAGTCCTTCTGAACGTTTTTTTAACCCAGCAGTGACCGTAAGAGGAATCTCCACACTGTGTTTACTCAATAAACCCTAACAAAAAACTGAAAGTACATAAAAGAGAGATGCAACCACCTTTTTTTTTTTTTGCACAGGTATTAGTTATGGTAACTCTGTTAATTACACAGATAATGACAACACAAGTCATTTTAGGCATTTCTTCACATACCCTGGTATAGAGTAATGTGTCTAATAGGCACTCAATAAATACATGTTCAAGGATTAATGAATACAATACACACAAATATTCTTTGTCAGTAAGAATCATTTATATAGGTAATGGTGTAATATCTATTGCATTAACGAAATACCATACTAATTTTTCCTGCATGTACAATTTAAAGAAACTATAAAATTAAAATTAATTAAATAGAAAATTCTTAAAATTTTAGAATAGTACACTTACTTGGAGTTGGTTTTGGTTTGTCTAAAAAGTAAAGAAGAAAAGAGAGAAAAGAAAAGAAAAAGTCAGTGATCATTTTCTAGCTATAGGTAAAATACCAGCCCTTTATATTTCCTAATTCTGTTTGAGTTAAAATAGGAAAAGACTGAACATATTAAAATGAGCAGTAGGCAATGCATTTTGAGTAGTTTTTAAGTCATATTGCAATGAATTCCTCAAAGAAGTTGTAAAGCTTGAAAGTATAGGGTCTTCTTGGTCTCTTTTTATCCCTGTAAAGCCTCATATTTCATTTTATGAAAAATGAATGCTCAGGATAAATCTGAACTCCTTACTGTTTCTGAATGGCATAAAAGGTATATTCTGCCATGTCTTTTCAGAATACATATTAATATTAATTAATATTAACTATTTAAACTCTTCAAATCCAGTATTTTGAATAAAGAACTGACTTTATAAAATCTCAGGAAAGATAAGTGAATGGTGGGTGAAAAACACAAAGCTATACTATCTAAATACATGATTTTTTTCTCCAAAATACCTTGTCTTCTGAAATTATTAACTAAAAGCATTAGTTATGCAGTTTTACACGTAAATATTCATAAAAAAACTAGACAACATTTCATCATGATTGCGAAGAATTTGAATCATCTAAAATTAGGTCAACTAATTCATTAATGGTGGAAATACAAATTAATATAATTTTTTAAAGAACAATTAGGGATGTCTATAAAAATTACATTGAATGTATCATTGCACTAAAAAAATTTACTAATTTTACCCCAAAGATAAATTTACAAAACTAGACAGGTAGGTATATTTTTTATTGTATATCATTAAAGAAAGCTTGTTAGATAACTTAAACATAGGTCAATCAGAAACTAGTTAAGTAAACTGTATACAACTATACAATAGAATACTATTAATGAAGAAATGCTTTATGTACTGATATAAAAAAATCTTCAAAAATACATTCTTAAATAGAAAAACCTAGGGACAAAGCTATTTATAGTATGTCATGATTTGTGTAAAAATAGTGGGAATATATATAATTTGTATATACATATGTGTATATGTCTTTTACATATATTGCTAGAAGGAGACATTAAAAAACAACAATGATTACCTATCAGACATTTTTGGATATTTTGGGAATGAGAATTGGTAGAATAGGAAAAAAGACGAGAGGGAGGGATATTTTCACAGTTAGCCTCCTATATGCCTTAGTGTTGAACCATGCCAAGTATTATATATTTTTTAAATTGAATAATAGTTGTAAAAGTATTAAGCTATTGTAGAATGGGATAACTTCTATTTTAAGCAATTAAACCAAGTTGAAATTCATGATTAGTTTTCAGTGAAATGTTAGATGTGCAATTTGATAGGATATTTTACAGTATCTAAACAGTGAATCAACATTACCAGTATGATAAATGATATTAATATTGACATCAGTGAAATACTGAATATTTTGGAAGGGTCTTATGAACCATGAAGGCAAATACTATTTTGTTAATACTGCTGTATTATAATAGAATGCTTAGCAATCCATATATATTGGTTATAATATTTCGCAAAATGCTTACCAGCACTACCACAGCCCTTATATTAGATAAACTAGATTCTACCACAAAACCACAAGACTAAACATTACCAAGAAATAAAATGAAAGGTACTTATATGTTTTGCTTTAATTTTCAAATTTAATAAAAATAGTGAATTAGGACAGAATATAAACCAGAAAGGCAAAAACACCTGTTTTTATAGATGGAGATTCTTTTTCTTGATGTTCAGCTTTTTCTAGAGAGAGAAATCAAAATTAACTGACACTCTGTAGATTGTTTGCATAGCAAGCAATTTAGTATTTACATATTTGCAGGTGATCCTCAGCATGCCTCCAAAGTCATTTGCATGTAACTTGGAACACAGAAAGCATATTGCCATAGAAACACATTATAAACAAGGTCAGGTTCATTCTCAGGACATCCTGTAAGATACTTCGAAGGCGCTAGCCCTCTTAGGGCCATGTGGTATAAGAAGAAGATAGAATATGACGAAAAGGAGAATAATAATAAGAGGATTTTTCTTTCTTTGCTGAAGGTTGAATCATTCTTTGAGGGTATTTCAAACCAGATGACATTTGCCTTTGGCATTTTACAAGCTCCCTTTTTACCTCTCTGACTCCTACTTCCTTTCTTGCCACATCAGAAGCAATTTGGTGCTGGTCAGAAGCAATTTGGTGCTAGTCATTGGTTTCTTGTTGAAAATGTAAACTAGACTTGCCTTATTCCAGAAAGTGTAACACTTTGTATTTTCATTTTTCTGGAACACCCTCTCTTTTCAGGTTCAGTTAGAACTCTCACAGATGAATCTCAAGTAAATCAAGGACATGACAGCTGTAATCAAAATGTGGAATTGATATTCTTCTCAGCCCTTTGAAAAATATTTGAATTAAAGTACATTTTAGATCTCTCTCTTTCACCAAAAGTGGAATTTCAAATAAAGCTATGTAGGGTAGGATATTTTGAATGGAATTGAGAAGATTTGGAAATACAGCAGATCACTGCCAAGTGTTAGTTCTTACTAATCACTTCCAGGTTTAGTTCTCCTGAACTGTTCTGGTTTACCTGTCCTTTCCTTCCCTCATCCTGAATTTGGAGATTCTCTGAAATCACTACTATTTCCTCCCCATCATCTTGCACCAACAATGAAGTAAGTGGGGAGATGTGGGGCCTATGTTGTCATAAGGTTTAATTGGATATTTGTAAATTAGGGATTGATAGCATTCAAGAATGAACTTCCATGAACTTAAGTTGTATAAATTTTAGTGTTAAATAAGCATGCACAATAAAAGAAGCCAATATTCAAGTTATTAAACTGTCATAATAACACTGCAAAAGTATAATAAATTAAAGTAAAAATAATATAAAATATATATTCAAAATACATGCAACAGGTTCTGGGAGGTGATTATGTTCTTTTTAGGCTCCTTATATTTTGCCGTATCTCCTGAATCACTAACATGACCTCCTAACTGGTCTCACCAAATTCATCTTTGGACCTTGTCAATTCATTTTTCATACATGAACCAGAGAATATTTGACAAAAGCCACTCATATCTTCATCCAAGCCTCTGTTTCACACATATATGTATGAACCAATATCACAATTTTGACACAATTTTGGACATATTTACTACCTGCGACAATGGGCAAATATTCACACTTTTCTGAGCCCAACAGTCACCTTTTAAACTCTACACCAGTAACATCTGTATGACTCCTGACCAATAAAATGGACAATCTTTAAAATCTATACTCATGAGGAAATTCCATGATTTTAATAAACAAATGGCAAAACGTTTATAATTCATAAAATTATGAATAACATTAATACCAAAAACTAACTACCATATAATTAATGCTGCTTATAGGAAACAGATTAAGAACAGTATGTGGTTCATAACACCAAAAATTGTGTATCATTTCATTTTCCTTTGTTATTCATTATGTATGTTTAAAAGATTGCCCATTTACCCTAACTTCTTAGTGTTATTTTATAGCCTGTATGGACTCATTCTTTTAGTATTAATAATAGTGATACAACTTCCAAAGATTTCTTCTGTATAATTATACTGAATTATTAATTAGTAGTGAAAGATAAAGATGTTAAATCAAAGCTGCAGCAATAACGTTAATTTATCACCTATAGAGGTACTTTAGCCTTGGGCAATGCTAAAAATAACAATTGGGGAAAAAAACCGAGCAAATTGTTAAAGTTAAAATGGCCAAGCGATACTTTCCAGATTTTATTTTCGTCTCTTACTTGTTGGTTTGGGTTTGACTGTGGAGAATGAAAGAAAGCAAATGGCATATGATGAATACAAACCATGGGAAAAAATAACTCTTTAGCATTTGTATTTATTGCTTCTTCATTTTAAGTTCTCATCTTATCTTAAGCTTAATCCATTCTCTCTGAACACTATTATTTCACTGTCAGCAAATACATTAAACATACTGCTTATTGAAAAACTAAGATGCACAAAATTTTATGTAAAATTTGAAACAATCTATATATTTGGGACACAAATACATTGGGCTAGTTTTCATAATCTCCAAATACCCATATAACTAAGTGAGATGCTTAACACTTTAGGGTGAAAATTAGAGGAATGTTAACTAAAATTATGAGCTAAGGCAATGACTGGAATAGAGTACAATGGTTGTATGGGGTAATGTGAAAATAGGGTTTCTTTCTTATGAAATACAGTCTATAATTTCTGTAAATAATTAGTCATCTCCTGAAATCTATTATATTTTCCTCTGAGAACTGTATTCAAATCCCAATTATCATGATTATCTCAGTTAAAAGAAAGAAATTATTTCACAGGCCTTTTCCTTTGGAATTATTTTTAGTAAGAAATGGGACTCCATTCATGGCGGAGGTAGGTAGGATTTCCATCTTGGGATCGAAGGGAGGAGATACAGTGTTTCAAGATGTCAGTTGAGATGGAGACTTAATTTTGTTCATCGTTTTAGGAAAGAACTTCAGAATTTCAAGAGTGTGTACACTCCTTTTTTTTTTCTCACATGAAATGATGGTTTGATATTTTTGCTTTGATATTATATGTTCTATTGATCATTCTTCAAGGCAGATTTTTAAAAGTTACACAATCATATAAGTCTCTGCGGAGTTCTCGTGAATGGAAATTATTCCATCTATACATGAACAGCAGACGGTTTCAAATTTCTGTGATTTTAAAATTTGAGGAAATGTGTTTTGAAAATGAGATTAAACACCTAAAAATAGTACATGATAATCAATGCATGACATATATTTCCTTGTGAATTATCTGTAAGCTTAGGTCAATCACACTTAAAAAACTAAAGTATGTCACTCTAGTTTTCCACTGTTAATTTTGATTGAGGATAACTTTTAGTTATTTACAAGAATCAAGAATCTTAGAATTTATGGCACTAAGAGTGCACATACTTCAGTAAAGATGTGTGTGTCTGTGTTTGTGCACGTGTGGGTGTGTGCCAACATAACATAAAACTGATACATAGAAGAAAAATCTAAAATAGCTCATTTACCTGTTTTTTCTATTGTGATAACTTTTGCCTGCTTGATAACTTTTTCATCTGTGATAAGAAAAAATATTAACACAAGTGGAAATTTTAAATGTATCAGTACAAAACAGTGACACATTTCAATCTTGATATTTTATATTTTCTTTGAAATAACACCAATACTGAGACAAACTTAGCTGTTTTCCCAATAAAACAGCAAGTGATATCTTTTATTCAAATTGGATGGAAGCAAAAAAAAAATTTGTCCAGCTGCATATGTCCTTTGCAGCTTTCTTGCCATAAAGGTTTTCCTAATTCAAATGGTCCCCTAACCCCTAACCAAAGTATACTCTATCCTTTGCCTTCACTGTATTTCAGTGTATTTATCTACACTGAAGTACACATAAAACATGTATTCCCTTTTCATTATTGAATAAGAATAGGAAGAAACAATTTTTTATCTTTCTTGAGCAAGATACCTCCCTGAGAACCCAGGATTAGCCTGGGAACCCAAGTTTTTATGTTGCAAAGCTGGGGAAGGGCAAAGGTGGTGCATTTATGGGATGTCTTCTGTGCTGTATGTTTTTGTAGACATAGTCAAATAGATTTGGGTCAAAGCAGAGGGATTAGTAAAATGATTCTATATAAAATTAAACTTTTCAAGTATTCAGCAGTGAGAATGAATCAGTTAGTCAAATATCCTGATTAGAAAGTTTCACTGGGAAACAGAATTTAGAGTATGAATGTGATCACTGAAATAAAAGAAAGATGTGGCTACAGGGCAATGCCTTTGTTATACACTCAGAGACTAAACTCTCTCCTTCTCTCAGTATTTCACCTCAAAAATGGTTGATATTTAGCACAGAAAAGAAAGTAACAGGGTTTACTATTCATTATATCAGGAGGTTCTAAAAGTTGTTTCTAAAGTTTTGCTTATGTCTATACAGACTGCTTTTCTCACCTCCCCATAGTCTGCTTCCGCTTTATTTATTTCTATGGTTTCTGTTGTTGGTGTCTCATATTCTTTAAAGCGTAAACAAGTAAAATCAAACTGACTCAAATCCATTGAAAACAGATTGTATAAAGTAAAATTTAAAAAATATAAGCAAAAAGTTTCCTAAGATACGTTTAAAGAAAGTATGCTTTTACCTTTGTAAAGATTCTGGCCTAACTATATTCACAACATCAGGTAAACAATGAAGGACAATATTCTACAGAATAACTGAGGCTTGACACAACTTCAAATTTAAATTCATATTTAATTGGTTTAAATTAAAATTTAAATAAAGTTTCTATTCTTAAATAAAAACTAATTATTAAGCTAGTCTTGGTAATTTCTCTATTTCTCCTTATGGGCAAAGCCCATTGGCTTACCTCTACTTTCTACAAAATGTAGTACCAAGAATAAGAAGATGAAGGAAAGAAGGAAGGATGAAGGGAAGCAGGAGGAAATATTGATTTCCTTTTCTTGGGATTTTTGGAATTCAAGATGATCATGTTTGAATGAGCCATTCTGAACTACAAGTTTTCTAGTGATGTCTTGCCCCAAACAGAACAAAACAAAACGAAATATAGAGACCATTCATCTGAATGCTGGCAAAGATGGTCTTTGTGCTAAGCTAAGTCTGATGGGAAGGGATCACGAGCTATGTAGTTATATCTGGCAGGTCAAGTTCTCAGCATGAACTATTAACCATCCCTAATAACTTTAGATTTGACTCTAAGCTCATCATCCTGTTAAAACTAGAACATTGAGAGACAATTTGATACTACTGTACAAATAACACCTGCAAAATACCTGGTTTACCATGAGAAACAGTCTTTTCTTGTTCTGAAAATAATAAAAAGAAAATCTTTTCAGATATTTAGAAGCTTTATAAATTAACATATGGCGAATTTTCTCTGTGACGTGGTCCAGTGATTTGTTTAGTAGAAAAAAACTGACAGATTTTAACAAATGTGTCCATGGAGAAAAACTGTTCCTTAATTTTCATGTCATTTCATGTAGTTTAAATAAAAAACTTAAAGGTTTTGGTTGCATGAAAACAATATACAAAGAATTCTTATTTATATTTAAGCACCTATAATTTCCAAAGCATAGGCTGTAATAAAGTATAAATACTGAGGTATAGATTGCAAATATGTATTATTAAAGATATTTAAGTTTTTTGTAAAAATTCTGTATCAACTTTATAGATAAAATTAAGATACATACTGTGTATTTGAGCTTTTTCGGATGAAGCTAGAAAATAAACATTCATAATTATAAAAATTTCAATTAAATCACCTGCAAAATTGTAGTATTTAATAATAATAAATGAAAGTTTTAAATATTACTAGGCCTAAATAGAAGTTTTAAATGGTATTGGGTTTCTGATTTAAAAAAAAAAAAGAGGTAAAATGCAAAGTGTTCATATCTGGTAACACATACGCATCTGCAGCAAATAAATGTACTCGGGAAAATAAATAATAAGATAGTAGTTAGGCATTTTTAAGCCTTGATACATTAAAAAGACACATTATTTACAAGAAAAACCAGACTCAAGCTTATGATCAGTTGTCAGGTAAGCTCTGGTAAGAATTAAAGGAATAAGATAGTATTGTATATACATCTAGACTTGGATTCTTTTTTTAATTTTTTTTTGCGGTACGTGGGCCTCTCACTGCTGTGGCCCCTCCCGTTGCGGAGCACAGGCTCCGGACGCGCAGGCTCAGCGGCCATGGCTCATGGGCCCAGCCGTTCCGCGGCATGTGGGATCTTCCCGGACCGGGGCACGAACCCGCGTCCCCCGCATCGGCAGGCGGACTCTCAACCACTGCGCCACCAGGGAAGCTCTACATAAATTTTTATAATGAAGAAATAGCATCCATAGAGCCTGAGGGTTTTGTTGACTTGCCTCAGGTGAGTAATTAGATGGTACCAGAACTAGGACTTACACATTAAATAGCAGTGTAAACTTGGAAAGATTGCCCTTATTTTAGATCAATGTTGCCTCTTAATAAAATGATTGTTAGTCTGGGACAATCTCTTAGTGATATCACCCAGGGTTTTGAGTAAACCAGCCCTGGGCACAATTCTAGTTCCAATATTTATTAACGTGAAAATCTTGGAAAAATAACTTTCTAAACTTTGTCTATTGAACTGTTTCCACAGATATGAAACATGGGTAATAACTGTCATGTTGCATATCTCTCCTAGTGATGGGATGAAAATGGAATCTTATGCTATTACTCAGCTCTAGCAGATGCTTGGTAAGTTCTTGTCCTCTTTCCCTTCAAATCTCAGTAGCCTATGATTTCATGATTTCATAACTCTGGTGTGTTATCAGAAATAAACTCACAGATTAAACATGATTATACTAGGCTTTGAAGAACTCCAAGAAATGTCTCCTGAAACCTGGAATCTCTGCTGAGGTTCCCTTAAAGCCATATTCCAGATGTTTTTGCCTATGGTATATCCCCATTCTCACCTAATCCAGTAGTGTGAAACCATATTGAGCAATGGAGTAGGGAAAATAATGAGGATCTGGGAGACTCTGTGTAACTCCCCATTGGTGGGTAGTAAGCCTTTTTTAGTACTAAACTAACAGCAACATTAGCTCTGTAACTAAGAATAAAAATATTGTTACCTGGTTTTGCTTCCTTTTTAACTTGTGACTCTGAAGGGGAAAACAAAAGATAGAAATTTTTAAATCTGAAAAAATAAACTACAGCACAAATTCATTTTTGGACACTATTTTATTTCATTTACCATAATTTGAAAAAGCAGAATTTTAGTAAAAAGTATTTTAGTTTCCTACTGGCTTGTCAGTACTGGACTATTGAACACACAGTAGTTAAAATCATGATATGTACTTGTCTGTCACTAAGTTATTGCTACTGCTAATGGATTTCAACCTGAATTTTCTGTTTTCTCAAGATTATTGTTGTGGAGAATAGTCCTAATGTCCACATAAGATAAATGACTTGATGATAGGAGTTGGAAGAGTTTTTCTTAAATATATGTAATTGTGATTCAGAAATTTAGACCGTGTTATGGCTTGAATTGTGTGCCACAAAAAAATATTTGAAGCCCTAATAGAAAATAACTCAGAATGTGACCTTATTTGGAAATAGGATTATTTGCAGATGTGATTAGTTAAGGTAAAATGAGGCCACACTGGAGTAGGGTGGGCCCTTAATCCAATCTGACTGGTGTCCTTATAAGAAGAAGAAAAAAGACACAGATAGAGACACACCAGAGCAGATGGCTGTGTAATGATGGAGGCAGAGATTGGAGTGAGCCAACTACAGGCCAAGGAACACCAAGGACTGCTGACAAACACCAGAAGCTAGAAGAGATAAGGAAACATTGTCCTCTACAGGTTTCAAAGGGAGTGTGGCTCTGCTTCTATCTTGACTTTGGACTTCCATCCTCTAGAACTGTGAAAAAATCAATTTTTGTTGTTTTAAGCTATAATAATTAGTTAAGGTGTGGTTATATGGGGGTAGAGAGGATCCTTAATTCAGTAGGACTGGTATCCTTGAAGAAGAAGAGAAAAGATACAGAGATAAAGACAATGGGAGAAGAGGTTCATGTGATGACAGAGGCTGAGATTAGAGAGATGCCTCTTCAAGCCTAGGAATACCAAGGATTGCTCACAAAAACCAGAAGCCAAAAGAGGCAAGGAAGGATTCTTCTCTACACCTTACAAGGGAAACATGCCCTGCTGACACTTTGATTTCGAATGTCTAGTTTCCAGGACTGTGAGAGAATAAATTTCTGTTGTTTTTAGCCACCTAGTTTCTGGTATTTTATTACAGCAGCCCCATAACACCAATACAGTTGGGAGACATGAATCAAAATTTTAACTGTTTTGAAAATCATTGCTGTGTTTTCTTTTAAAAAACTGTTTGCTGCCTGCTATAGCCCTCAGAAATGTTCATCTGACTCAGGAGCCCCCACAAAATAGAAGAGTGTGGGCAGCTTTTTTTCTGACAGGATGTCTGTGTTCTATAGTAATCAGCGAAAAATAGTCATTTGTTTCTTCTGAACTATATAAATTTCTCAGCGGTTTCACTTTGTAAATAGGGTTTTTTCCTAGGAACAGGTAGTATAGCTAAACATATGTTACGTTTTATTTTAAAAAGTTGTTCAAGAATAAAATTTTAGTATAATATTTGCACTAGAACACATTTGCAAAAAACTATGCTATTCATTATAAATATGGAATGAAATGTACATACCTGGCTTATCTTCTTTTTTTACTTGTGGCTCTAAAAATGAGTAAACATTAGTAATAACGATTATATAAAAATATTTATTTCCTGTACTCATGCATATTTCTTTTACATATTATTGTTCTTTAATCTTCCATATTAATTTTCTTCTTATGATTGCAGCAGATTAATACACACACAAGTAAAGGTTCCTCATTATCAATCACAATAAGAATTTTTGAGAAAAATTGGAAACATGAACTAAGATTTTTAATGAAAAGTTAATGAAATCATACCCAGTGAATGAAGTATAAAGGAAAGTATCAGCATAGCAAATTCTCAGAAACACAAGTAAGACAACCAGCACATTATCTGCACAAAATAGTTAAGCCTTTGACTTTATGCAAAACACACTCAACAATAGAATCAGAGGATGAGTAAAGCAGGCATTTAAGATTTGTTTTTTGTTTTTGGCATGTATAACATACGTGGAGACTTGGGCTTGACTTCTTTGCCTAGAAAAAGTTTAAAAATTATTAAAAACTGAGTCATTCCATTGTTATTGGATCACATTGTATATGGTAGAATATTATATATTTGAAAATCAAACACTATAGACCCCAACTATCTTTCTTTATTGAAATTTTTACAGGATATGTAATTTAATGTCCAAGCCAAGTTACTAATTGAAAAATCATTTAAAACAATAACAGTTTAATTTCATTGCACCATTAAAATTTTGCTCACAAACTCGTGTGCAATGTTAACTGTTTAATCTAATGTTAAGATGGAAGATACAATTTTATTTTGAGAATTACTTTTAGCCTTTCATTATCCAAGATGAAAAATTCAAGACTACTGCTTTCATTTCCATTAACATTATCAATATGTTATCTGTTCCAGTATAATATATTAAATAGCGACTGCTGCTGAATCTGGAATTCTTGATGACCCAAAATATACCATATGCTTCTATTGCATATTGGATTCCTAGTTCAGGGGTTGGCAAATTTTCTGTGAAAGTTCAGATATATATATATATATATATATAAAATATAAATAATATATATAAAATATATATATTTTTTGACTTTGGAGCCATATGATCTCTGTCGCTCTGTTGTTGTAGCACAGAGCAGCCATAAGCATTATGTGAATGAATAGAAATGGCTGTGTTCTAATAAAGCTTTACTTACAGAAGCTGGTGGCCAGTCTGCAGGCCATGGTTTGCCAACATCTGCCCTATCCACAGTAAATTTTAACTTTCTTTCTTTTTTATCTCAACAAAGATTTTAACAGTAAACAAAGCACCTTTCTTTGATTCTGAATTCCTAGATTAATAACATCCAATACCTTTCCATAACTGCTCTACTAAACTTCTTAAGAATGTTACCTTTACTTGTTTTTTCCATTTATTGACTCCCATTTAATCATTAATTCACTACCATCTAGCTTCTATTCCCAACATTATATTTATCAGGCATCTCTGGTCATTAACTAATTCCCCCTTACTTTCCAGTATCAACGAACATATGTAACTATGTTGATCACTTTCTTCTTTTTAAATTCCTATTCATTTGGCTTCTGGGAAGGATGTACATAACATACTCTACTGTAATAAGATAAACATTTATACCATCCTCTTCATTGTCAAAAGTGTCCTAGTGACTTCCACTTTTAGCTAAATAAAATAGCAAGCACCTGATTAGTTTTCACACTTGAAACTATAGGAAATAGAAAAAACTATATAAAACATAGTTTTAAAGATATTGGACATCAGACAATAAAGGACAGTGATTTTTAAGTAATGAAAAACAAATGAGGTGTGCTCTATGATTATCCCAGCTTAATGCCTTGAGAAAACTGCAGGCTGTTAGTGCAGGAATAGAGCTGATTTGATGAGATCGAACTGGGTGTCTTGAGAGACCAAGACAGCGAGAGATCAGTGGTCAGAGTAATATAAAGTAGGAAGCTAAAGAGATTAGAAAGAGGTAGAAAAAAAGATTTTAAAAAGTTTGGAGAATTTGTGGAAGGCTCCCTCAAGTCTTCAGATGAGCACTGCCAGCCTATGCGCACAACGAAACTACTTAAGGTAGAGAAAGAAATAGTAATAATACTGTAGCAGTTTATAGTAAGTGTTGAAGCAGGGTAGTGTCAGTCCTTCAGCTTTGTTCTTTTTTTTTTTTTCAGTTTTGTGTTGGCTATTCTGGGTGTTTTCCCAATCCATGTAAACTTTAGAACCACTTAGTCAACATGCACAAAATAACTTGCTGAGATTTTGATGGAAATTACATTGTATCTATAGATCAAGTTGGGAAGAACTGACATCTTAATGTTGAATCTTCTACTTCACAAACATAGAATATCTCACCATTTATGTAGAGATTTTTATTCCTTGATTCTTTTTTTTAATCAGAGTTTTCTTCCCTTCACTTTTTATTTGGCTAATTTCTATTTAGGGCTCAGCTATCTCTTCCTCAGAAAGCATTTTCTGATATGGTTGGACAACTTTTCCCCTTTATGTGCCAACATTATTTTTTTGATATCTTGCTCATTGTTTTTTGATATCTTATTCACAATATACTATAAATATTAACTTAAGTGAATACCTTCCCTTCTAGACTGTGAGATATTTGAGAACAGAGATCATGTTTATCCATCATTGAATCCAGAGAGCTGGTGCAATACATGGTTATGTGATAGGCACTCAATTATTGTTTGTTCATTAGATAAATAAATGAAATAATTAATGAAAACAAGAGAAGGTAAATAAATGGAGAAGTTGAGTCAATGAATGTAGGAGAATATGTGAATTCAGAAATTACATTAGAACACCAAAAAATGTTAAAATTACTACAGGCTTTCTTTGACTTGACATGACTATTCACCTCTCAGCTTTCTGGTACCCAGACAAAGATAAAATGTGCAATCAGTTATACAATTCACACTGTTTTAAGTTGTAAGCAAATAAGTTGTTTAAGAGAAGCACAACAATTCTTGGTAATATTACCTGAGATAAATTTGTTTTATGGGTTCTCAGAAAAAAAAAAACTATAATGCAGTATAATGTAGCAGATAACATCTTCGACAATATCCCTACCCTAATTATGTAACAGTTTTCATAGGACTCTACCTACTGCTCTCAACATGGACCAAGCACAGTTCAATAAGAGAACATACACACACACATACACACACAAATTGTGTACAAATATAAGGATGTTCAATTATGCTCTTCAAACCCAACCAGGTTAAGAAAATCTTGACTTAAAAGTTCTGCTAATTCGTACAATCAGGTTGTGATAGATACTGGATAACTATCTATTCCCACAAAGCTGTTCAATAATGAAATCTGGGTCTCAGAGCTGGTTCTTCATGTGCCCTCCCATATATACTTATTTCCAAGTTTAATTTCAATTGCAGTCCTCTAACAACTAAGTATTCTGCTGTTCTCCTGTATTCT